GAAATAATCAAAAAGTAATTTATCTTCAAAGGCAGAAAACAAAAAAGAAATATCAGTTTGGATTATCATACATTTGCACAGACTAATTAATAATATCACAAAAAAGGTAAAACAAAATCACTATTCTTATTAAAGATAGCGGAGAACTTTTAAACACGTCTTTACACCACCACTTCAAATATAATATGTTTGCCGACATATTTGTTGTGAGCTTACATTTTGTCTATGTTTAGTAATTTTGGAGCCCCTTGTAACTACTTGATGAGTAAGTTATTTCACTCACAATCTAGTATTAATAATTTTATATAAGCTTCAAATAATAATATTGGTATTAATTTTTATTATAATTTAATATTTTTTTTAACAGATACCTGCGAAAGCGTTGCTAGGCAAAACAACAAGTTAGTTGGATCTGACAGTTCGGTATTTTGCTAAGTACATATTGAACGGTACCTTTAATAATAAAATTGTTTTTACTACTTATAAATTTGTCCGATAGGTATCTTTAATGTATCCCACCAGAATTGTGAATAGCTGCAATATAAACTACCTGAGGTATGATTTCGGAAAAAAAGGCAAAAAGAGATACGAAAACACTTAGGAAGCATATAATATGTAGTAATCGACATTTGCTAGCCGGGATAGTGAAACATGCTTCCTGGATAGCCGAGAAGTAAAGTAAGCAATGGCTGTTTTGCAGAATTATAATTTTAATTGATTTCAGTATTTTGGGTGATAATTAATCGATTCCAGCACAATGTTTCTTTTTAATTTTATCAAACGCTATTTTTATGTCTTCCATAGGAATGTAATTAACAAAAATAGAGTTTACAATATGTTGACCTACTGTACAACTCTGTGATATATTTTTTGAAATGGATCACTAACCATATTGGTACATATGCCAGAAAAGTGAGAAGCAAATAAGTTACTTATTTCTTTTGTGTCTGTGATCTGTATGTTATTATAGTGCAAGGAGATACTAGTGGTACGTTTAGGTTTTCTGTTTAGATTTTCATTTATAATTTTCCACGTCTCTTTTATTTTATTGTCGGCTCTGCTCACTTGATCATTTAAAAAGTGTCTTTTAGATTTTTTTTTACTTCTGATTTAAAGTGTTTTTTCAGGTTTATAAATTCAATTTTTAGTTGTGCACTATTTGATAATCGAGTAAGTTGATGCATATCTATTAGTTCATTGTGTAAGTGAGCTATGTCCCTAGTGTACCAATTATTCGCACATGCCCTTTGAGTTAAGTTTTTTAAACTCTTCAAAGGACAGCTTGCATCTAGAGCCCATTGAAGGGATTTTGTAAAGACAGTCCATGCCTCATTCACATCTTGTAGCAAATATAGGGTATCTCACTCGAAATTTGCTAAATATGATGATAAATTATTTAGATTACTAAAGCTAAAATCCCTGATTTTTATATCCGGAATTACTCGCTTGTCATTACATCTTGATTCTAGTTTAACTGAAAGGGTATGTCCCTTGTGATCCCCTAAGTATGGACCAATTACACAACAGTCGTAGGTTGCGAGAGGAAAAATAGTAATCATATAATCAATTGTGCTAGTAGAAGTAACTCCCTTAATATTTGTAAATATACGAGTTGGTTCAAAGCATGTTATATTTAACTGAAATGAGTGTATAATATCCATAAGCAACTTTGTATTACTATCATTTTGCTTGTCATAATAAATGTTGAAGTCACCGGTTAAAACTATGTTTTTATACTTACTAATTGCATAGGTTAAAGTAGACGTTAATCTCTGTTCAAATATGTCAATGTCACCTGTACCTGGTCTGTAAATACCTATGACTGCTACATCTCTTTAATCTATTATAAACTTAACAGCTAGAAACTTCATAGTGGCATTCTATAGCAAATTGATTTATGGGTGTAATCTCCTCTACTACAGTAATATCGGTTTTTACCATTATGAATGAACCTCCATGAATATGCTGTTTTCTAGAGAAGTGTGATACAAGTCTGTAATTTGGAATTGTAATACATTCAAGATCGTGGTTCTCAAACCAATGTTCAGTTACACAAACTACATCAAATTTGTGGTGGTTAATGAAAATATTTAAATTATCCAGTTTATTAGATAATCCTTGACTATTAACATGAAATAAAGTTGAACTTGGCTTTAAATTATGAGATTTTTTATTACTATTTTTGAAAGGAAGGTGATTATTTAGGGATTCGAAAAAACTGAATTATTTAAAGCAAATGATGTGTTTTTAATATCTGTATTTTTGTAGCGAGGATTATCTAAAAAATGTTGACCTTTTTTGAAGTTAAACCCTTTGAAAGCTACTCCTACTGGCCAAAACGACTGATCATAAACAACACTTTTTAACGAGTGGTCAATACCAACCAAAAAACATTAAACTTATTGTGGGTAAAGTAACATACATACCTCGAGAGAACCTATTTTAGCCTTGCATCTGTAGCTCTAGACGCTTGACTGTAATAGAGTACTTCCCCACTTGGTATGTAATATGCTATTACATAAAATGTCGACTATAACCTACTAGCAGATAGAGCGCGCTAATGATGGCATAACAGTCGAAAGGATTTGCAGTTTTATAAATAAAATAATTTTACATGAAATACAAAAAATCTTCTTTAATATATTTAGAATCGTTATGTTTATGATAATCCCAATGATGGAACCGTACAAATCGAAACTAGTAACTCATATTCGCGACTCTCGTATTTATTTTTTCTTCCAAAATCGATCTGTAGGTATGGTCAAAAGAGGTTTTTTTCGCAAATAAAATTTTGATACGGAATTTGTGAACAGTTAACCTTTTAAAACACGAATTCACTATTTATGTAAAATATTTTTGTATATATTGAACAAAAGATAAAAATAAAAAGTTATTTGAAAAATTATATTTAAAAAAAAATAACAGTATACCTATGATATATATGTCTGAGTGTCAACAAATACATAATAAAAGTTTTTCAGATTTTTCGAAGAATAAAAGGCGCTTTTAATGTATATATCTACTTAATATGAGAAGTATTTATATTGAAATATGTGTCACTCGTTGCTATAAACAGAGTTTTTTTTATTACACGTTCATATTTAGCGTTATATTGAACAAATAGATATTTTTGTAAAGTCGATATTTATACGAGTATAGTATTCATACATTGCTATGCTATATTCTGTTAATGTCTTTTTCTTTCATGTATCAATTGCTTAATTATCCATTATACCTTTCTAATTCCATTATTATTTCATATTCTTCCAATGTTTATTATTTTATTTTCTGTTTAAGTAATCTTTTTAAGAATCAAATTTTCAAAATAAAATAATATAAATAAGTACGGAGCCATGTATCACATTGTGCATCTTACTTGGTGCTTATTTCTTTCATTTCACGTCTTGGTCATATTTGAGTTGGAACTATTTTCCTTTTTTTTAATTAAATTTTCATTGCGTTTATACCGAGTGGCCCAAAAGCAATGGCCGAAAGCCATATTACAACCATTTAGCTTTGGGGAAAAAAATGTTATAATAATTCTAATTTTTGCTCAAAAAAAAAGTCGGCCATATTTTGTTTAATTCTAAATTATTTCTAGCAGGTTTGTTTAAAATTTAATCCAATCGCTTCATAAATAAAATAGATATTAACGTGACCCTGGTATAATTATTGCCAATATGAACCTTATGTTTTCCTAAGATTGCTGCAATTATTTTGATTTTTATCTTATTGTTAACAAAATATCTGTTTGTTCCATAAAATTTTATAATTTTTTGTCAAATATAAACCTAATTTTTTTAAAAAAATTGTATATAAATTCCTGCCAAAAAATAAAAATATAAAATTTGTCAAAAATAAAAACAAAAAATAATTAAAATTACCTAACCGTGATTTCTCTATAACTTTTTTTACTCTAGTAAATTAATCAAAATACTTAAATTAATTTGACGTTTCAACAAAATAATATTGAATTTGCTTTGATTTAGGAAATTTTTAGAACATTCTCTATATTAACCAATGAAACGACCAAGATGAAAAAAAAATGCTATTTAACATTGTTAAAAGTGTTACTGTACGATATTTTTTTATTATTAATTTAGAACTGTTGTTTTTCAGTAGTTTAAATATTAAGTTTTTCTTGTTATTTGTTATTGTCATTTTTCATATAGTGTCTGAACTGATTTATAATAGTGTAAAATTTATTTAAATTTATACTTTTCCACATCAGACAAAATATTAAAAAGTATAATATAAGTTACTGTTAAAATATTTATAATTTCGAGAATGGTGTAAATTTCAATTCAATTTTACACTATAACTATCTAGTTCAAGATTGATATAGATGTATCTAAAGAAAATTTGGTAAAATAAAATGAAAATGCAATACTGCTGTTTTATTAAAACCTAATCCAACATACACAAACTTTATAGCAGCATCTATTAAAGCTATATTCTTTTGTGTTAAGGTAAACTGGGGGAATATGGCAACAATTTATTTGACGCATTCAATTTTTTTTTTTTTATTAAGGCATGCTAAAATATAGAAAGTGAAATGTATTATGCTTAGTTAACACAATAAAAATTAAGCAACAAAAAATATATTAAATACTGACTTAAAAAATGTTGCTTGAAAAATAAATGAAATTGTGCCATTTTCCCCCATATCTCGCGAATATGGGAAAACTGACCTGGGTAATATGGCAACATGGGCATTAAGTTATAAACAAAAACTGAAAAAAATGTATTCTAATACTTCGTAACTAATAATACAAATTACAGAAAAAATTAACAAATAGTAGATAATGAATAGTATTATGGTAACAAAAGAAAAATATTAATATTTACTCAGCGCAATTTGAGCAGTATTTTTCAGAAGGTGTGCATATTTCATGCAACCAAGAAAAACAATTTACACATTGTATCCAATTGCACTTGGGACCATTTTTGTCTAAATAGTATCCATTACATTCTTTAAAAAATTCATCTTTGTCTACTACCTGAAGATCAGATCTTCATCTCTTGAACGTTCACTCTTATTAATGGATGAAGCAGAAGAACTTGACGATTTCCTAGGTTTCTTCTTTTTTTGTACGTTCCTTTTTACCTTAATTGTCTTATTTTTATTTTCCTTAGCATTTTGAGTTTTTCTTGTTTTCTTTTGAGCATTAGCTTCTTTTAATTCTTTCTTTCGGCTTTCAGCGTTTTTCAGCAATGTATTCTTTTGTAGTAACAATTTCGGCGTGGTGTTTGCGAGAATTTCTTTTAGAAATTTCAATCGTTGGTAGTTTTTGAATCTCATTAAAACCACACGTTAAGTTTCTTTCTTGGAATAATCTGAAACAGTAGCAGTATCTGTATCTAGCAGTATCTGTATCTAGCAGTATCTGTATCTAGCAGTATATGGTCCAGGTATTTTATCGTTATGAATTTCAGCAGTAGTAATGATTACCCACGGTATTTCTGTATCAGCATCAGACGTTGATTGTGAAACCTCATCGTTTGGTATTTGATTTTGAGTTGTTTGGCTATTTGATTTAGCAGTCAATAAATCTGGAGTTGTTTAGGTTTTATCAATATAAAAAGCGTAAGCTGGTATAACGGATGCATATAATGGTTAAATACCGCAAGCCTTAAAATATAAAACGCCATTTTGGACAGTGGCAGCTTTAAACGAAGCGATATTTAACAAAGAAGGAAATTAGTACCTGGTAATTTTTCTTCTTTCGTGGTTTTGTTTCCAAGTCGCACATGTATCACTCCAAATGTTTTTAAAGGCTTAGAAAATTTTCTATCCAGAAGCTGCAAAAAATATGTTGTGTAGCTAGGAAGGCACAAAAGGGTTATGTCATTATTAGTTGCATAATCTAGAACTTCTGGATCTAAAATTTGGGAAGCATGTCCATCAAGAATTAAAAAAACTTTGTCGCTATCTTTCCTCGGAATAAATATTTCTTGAAGTAATTTTTGGAAAATAACTGATGTTACATAGGCACTTTTTTCACTAAATTGTACTGGATCACCTGATGGCAAACCATCTTCAAACTCTTTCTTTTTCTATTTCTCTTTAAAAATGGAAAATGGTGGTAAAAATTGCGCTTCTGCATTTACACAACTTAAAATAGTAATTGTCTCTCCCTTTTCAGCGCTAGTTACAGAGCAGACAGATTTAGCCCCTTTGGAAGCAAGAACTTTGCCCGTGGGGGTTATTTAACTGCAAACCGGTTTAGTCGGTTTTATAAATTTTCCTTGGACAATTAATAAACCCACTATCGGTTAAAACTTGCTTGTTCACTCCTTTCATACGGGCTATGGATAGATAGTTCTTGTGCCTTTCTTATACTTATGTTTGGATGCCTTTTTAAAAATGTAACGTTCCAATCGTAACCCGCCTCCTGTTTATTGCGGTTAAAATTATGTTTGATATAATTAATTCTCATAAATTTAGCAGGAAAATTGCATCCTTCTAGCTTTTTACTGTAAGCCAACAATTTATTTTCGTTTTCTTCTCCCAAAATACATTTTCTGCCTAATTTTATTTTCTCTACATTATTTAGCTTTTGTCGCCTGACTAATGTCCGCACTGGTATGTTGTAGGTGCGTGCGATTTCTCTTATGGAACTCGTTTTCTCACTCTAAGCCATAATGGCTGCTTTTAGGTTGTCCACAGTCCATTGAGCTCTTAAATTTTTGTTTTTGTTATTTCAAGGCATTCTGTAACAAGACACAAATGCTATAAAATACTATAGAATACTACAGAATACTATAGAATACTACAAAATACTATAGAATACTATAGAATACTATAGAATAATATAGGATACTATAGAATACTATAGAATACTATAGAATACTATAGAATACTATAGAATACTATAGAATACTATAGAATACTATAGAATACTATAAAATACTATAGAATACTATAGAATACTATAGAATACTCAAGAATACTATAGAATACTATAGAATACTATATAATACTATAGAATACTATAGAATACTATAGAATACTATAGAATACTATAGAATACTATAGAATACTATAGAATACTATAGAATACTATAGAATACTATAAAATACTATAAAATACTTTAAAATACTATAGAATACCATAGAATACTATAGAATACTATAGAATACTATAGAATACTATAGAATGCTATAGAATACTATAGAATACTATAGAATACTATAAGATACTATAGAATACTATAGAATACTATAGAATACTATAGAATACTATAGAATACTATAGAATACTATAGAATACTATAGAATACTATAGAATACTATAGAATACTATAGAATACTATAGAATACTATAGAATACTATAGAATACTATAGAATACTATAGAATACTATAGAATACTATAGAATACTATAGAATACTATAGAATACTATAGAATACTATAGAATACTATAGAATACTATAGAATACTATAGAATACTATAGAATACTATAGAATACTATAGAATACTATAGAATACTATAGAATACTATAAAATACTATAAAATACTATAGAATACTATAGAATACTATAGAATACTATAGAATACTATAGAATACTATAGAATACTATAGAATACTATAGAATACTATAGAATACTATAAAATACTATAGAATACTATATAATACTATAGAATACTATAGAATACTATAGAATACTATAGAATACTATAGAATACTATAGAATACTATAGAATACTATAGAATACTATAGAATACTATAGAATACTATATAATACTATAGAATACTATAGAATACTATAGAATACTATAGAATACTATAGAATACTATAGAATACTATAGAATACTATAGAATACTATAGAATACTATAGAATACTATAGAATACTATAGAATACTATAGAATACTATAGAATACTATAGAATACTATAGAATACTATAGAATACTAAAGAATACAGCGGGTGAAGTCAATGAGTTGTAAAAAGACCGTTGGTGGGATGAGCGTAGTTCTTATGGTGTGGGTGTAAAAAGGGTGCACCAGACCGACGTTTCGAAATTTGCGTGCGCAAGTTTCGAAACGTCGACCGGGCGCGTTCGCTTTTTCCTCTAGTAGTAAAACCGTTGTTAGGACAAGCATAGCTGACTCTTATGGTGTTGGTGTAAAAAGGGCGCGCGGCTGTATGCCATTCGGGATCAAAACTGTATTTCGGAACTTCGGCCGGTTACGCCATTTTTAAACCTATAACATAAGAGTCAGCTACGCTCGTCCCAACAACGACCTTACTACTAGAGGAAGGAGCGAGCGAATCGAGCGCGCCCGGTCGATGTTTTGAAATTCGCTTGAGCGAATTCTAAGATAGTTGGGACGTGATAGGACAAACGTGCTTTCATGGTGTAGGTATGTCAGGAAACGTTTATATTTTGTTAATGAAATAAATCAAGTCATCAATGCAAGTCAGTTAGAAATATATCGGGTGCACCATTACTTAAAAATAACGAATGGATGGCTAATGGCTAATAAAGTTAGCACAATGTTATTTTAACGGTTTTATTTTAAATTTAATTTAGTATGAAGAACTATTAAGAAAATATATTCTTTTGTAATTTATGAATATTGGTCAACCCAGTTTATTTCTTATTGAGCACTAAGGTGTATTTCTTATTAACTTGATTTATTTCATGAAACTATCATCAAAACTTTTTTTGTAAACTTATCAGGAATGTACATAATAATAAGTTAAGTTACTTTTTGTTCACTCTGTATATAAATTTGGACTTTATCATGTCAAATTTATTAAATATGAGTTCATTAAGAGGATGTTTAGAAAACTTGGCCATAATATTTAAATTTATTAACTTTTATTTACATAATTATTTACTTCTATAATTTTCAGATGAGTTAAATTTTCTCTAGTAAAATGATCTTTCAAATATCTGAAATATCTTTTAGTTTAAAAATAAATAAAATAAAACGTAATTTAAAAATAAGATTTATTGATGTAAGTTTTAAATGGAACGGCTGAAAGTTTTCAGTGGTGACGTCACGTCGTGCCGGACTCAGTAGAATTTGAATGAATTCGGCTATCCTTAGTTGATATAGTCATTGACTTTGGTTGACAATTCGCTTGTCAGACTAATTAATTTTCTTGCTTGAAAGTTTAAAAACTTTTGGATGACCCAAAACAATTAGGCATTCCAACGACCTGTCAAACAATAGGTGCCAGTGGGAAATTTTTGTATATCTAAGGGGGTAGCGACATAATCTTGCCACTTGGAAGCTATTTTCATTCGAAGTAGTAGTCGCCAAGCCTGCCAATTTATGAAGAAATATATAGATGGGTTTTTAAATATTATTTTTATTGTGTTTGACATAAAATATTTAAATGTTATCCATTATTCATGATTTTGCGTAAAGTAGATAGAATACACCGTATGTCGCCACCCTTAGATATAGCAAACCTTCTCACTGGCAATTCATTTGTTTGGAATGCCTAATTAGGCATTCCAACGACCTGTCAAACAATATGTGCCAGTGGGAAATTCTTGTATACCTAAGGGGGTAGCGACATAGTCTTGCAACTTGGACGCTATTTTTATTCGAAGTAGTAGTGGCCAAACCTGCCAATTTATGAAGAAATGTAATGGTGAGTTTTTTAAATATTATTTTTATTGTGATTGACATAAAATATTTAAATGTAATCCATTATTCATGATTTTACGTAAAGTAGATAGAATACACCGTATGTCGCCACCCTTAGATATACCAAACCTTTCCACTGGCAATTCATTTGTTTGGAATGCCTAATTATTGTTTATCACTTTATAGATGTAGTTATATTAATATTTAGTTAATAATATGTACAATTTAATCAAATTTGATAAAAAAATCGTTGGATGTACTGTAAATTAAAGTTAAGATTTTAGGAAAAGCAACGAAATAAATTAATAAAAGTAGTGCTTTGTTTGGAAATGTTACGTCAAAAATAAGATACTTTGTGGGGTTTCCAGTGGTATATTTGAAAAGTACTATTTTTTCTAATGCCTAAAATGTAAGTATAAAAAAAATTGAATTATTAAGAAAATATATATTCCCAATAATAACCTTTTCATGCATGAGCATTGTTTCAATATGTATTCGATTCACAAAAATACCTAATCGGTTATGTCAATTATTAATCTAGATTTTGTTATAAATTGAAATGTTTGGCAATTTTGCTTATGCTTTACACAAAAATCTAAATATCTTAGGTTAAAATCACCAAAATTTGCAAGTTTTAACCCAAATTTCTTTGTTATTTATGCGTAATCCGCAATTTTTTTTATT